TTTATTGAAGAGATGAAGTCTCGCTGCCCAGGCGGGTCTGGAACCCGCGGGCTCAGGCAATCCACTCACCTCAGCCTCCCAAAGGCGCGGGATGACAGGCTGAGCCACCGAGCCCAGCTAATGCACCATTTTTTATAAATAAATCCCAGGTTTCTTTGGGTCCTCCCCTCGTATAGTTTTTGCAAAAGTGGTCAGGGGTCTTTAAGTCTCAGGTCTGCAAAGCACGGTGGTTATACATACACATCGTCCTGGTAAATGTGCCAGTCTGTCCCCAGGCTGCAGAGAGGACTGGTAGCTTCAGGGCTGAGAGTTATCCAGCCTGCATCTGGGAAGGTGGCTTTCAAAACCCTCTCTGTGTTTCCACCTGCCCAGTCTTGCTGCTTCAAAAGGCCAGCGTGTGGAAAGAGGGCAGCGCAAAGACGCCGAAGGTCCAGCTTTTCTCTGGGCTGCTTGAAGCAAGTTCCTGGACATCCAGGGCCTCCGGTTTTTTTCTCTTTGGAATCCCCATGCTGTCCACCTTCAAGCCAGGCTGTGGCCCGGCTGCCATATTCCCACCGAGGCCTCTGGAGCTCAGCAATCTCCCCGGAGCCCTCACCCAGGGGCCACGCTGCGGTTGCGAGGCAGGCCTCGTGGTATGGAGAGGTCGTCCTTCTGGCCAGCGCTCGAGACTCCGGGACTCAAAGAACAGACCTCCCCAGTTCTTTACCTCATGCTGGCAAAGCTGACTATCGCCCAAATCTCATGGCCGTAAGAACAAAAATCTCGGCTTCTCTGCAGGCTTTCTCATTGGAAAGAATGAACCACTCCTTATCCCAGAAAGAAACCTCTGTGTCTCTGGCTTTTCCCAGCCTGATTCTTCTGCCATATTTGGAGAAAAACTCCTTTTTTTTGAGTAGTCTTTAGGGACCTTACAGCCACTGCCCTAGACCAGGATATGGTGGGAGCGAACAGGCTGCTTTGAGGGGAAACAAGGCTGCAGGAGAAAACACTGAGAGTGGGGGATGGGCGTGTTTTCTGGGCTAAAAAGAAGAGTCAGGCCCTCCATCTGTCTGCCCCAGACCCAGGCAGACAGGCAGAAAGCGAAACCACAGAGGAACCAAAAGTGAAATGGTTCATTCGCATTTTATGAGACTTTCCTACCGAATAGAAAGTACCCTACTCCAGAAGAACCCCAACAAAACAAAACAAAGAAAAAACCACAAAGGAAAGAAAACAAAGACAATTTCACAATCTGGGGCATGATGAGATAAGGGAGCTGCCGGGAACCTGGGTGCCAACTGTGAAAACTGGGAAACTAATTCCCGGCCACTGGAGCTTCACCAGGGTGAGAACGGCTCTTCCTTCCAGACCTTTAAGCTTTTAGGCACAGATCAAGTGGCCATACATAACAGGGTCCGGGTTTCATTTATAAATAACCCAGGAACATTTTGTTTTCAGGGCTCCGGGGCTGGGTTTTCCCAGCACACAGGACTCTGGGGAGAGGGGAAAACCATGGCGGGTCAGTGTTCCGTGAGGACAAGTGCGCTCCAGCTCAGGGCAGCTTCATTCAGACCAAGGAACAACCAGCTCATTCAGGATCCCGGGCCCCAGGCCCTGGCCCTGAGCAGCCCAGACGCTGCATCTCCGGGGTGGATCCCGCATGGGAGGCAAAGCCTTTGGCTTCCAAGGCCAACCCAGGAAGTCTGGACCGGGCCCGCCAGAGGCTCCTGGTCACCAATTGGCATGCTGCCTCTGGTGACAGCCCTGCCTAGGAGCCTCGATATCCTCTTTGGAGGAGAATGCCAAAAATAAAGAAATTTAAAAAGCCAGTAGCTTCTGTGCTTCACTATGATTGAATGCTAATGAAATCCCAAATAAAAGAGCAGTGAGTCTAGAACACAAGATTGCAGGCAGGGTTGCAATGCCTCATGGGCTCTCTCAAGGTTAGGGAGTAAAGGGTGAGGCGATGGAATTTCCTGTTCCCTCAGGAGGTATGGAGGAGGGCGGATCCTGTGAGGGCCACCAAACTCCCATCCCGTCCCCTCTGGATCCCACCTGACTCAGTTCCCCTGAAATACTGCTCGTTCTCAGATTTGAGCTCCAGGCTCTGCCCTCTTAGCCTGCCAGTCTTTGCTCTTCCCTGACACAGGCCTCCAGCCCTCCATGTCTCCCAGAAGACAGAAAGTTGGATGGGAGGCTTTTGAGATCCCAGATTCATGTTGAAAGGACAGACTGATAGCTGAAAGCCATTTTTTTATCTTGTTCCTAAACCTTAATACAATGATGAGAAAGTAGAAGCTACGTTTCTGGAGAAATGCACACTTTAGGTAAAATTAACTTTGCCAACTTTGTCTTTTCAGAAACAGACTTCCTGGTGCCAGGTATCAGAGGCATCTCATAGCGGCAATCAAGCTTGCCTAGATTAATGGGGATTTACGAGGCCTAAGACATCATGTATTGGGCAAGGATTGCAGAAGTCACGAAACTTGAAATTACAAAAGTTGTGACCGCCCAGAGGGGGAGCAGGTGGGGATTTGATCTTCCAGTAAATTGGGTGCTATCTACAGGGAAGCCAAGGATCCCCCGAAGCGACCCACTGGGAAGGCCTAGGAGATAAGGGGAGGTGCACCCTACGCTAGCTCTAAGGACTGTCGTTCAGGAAGGTGCAGGAGAATTAGAATCCTTGTCACGCCCTTCTCTAGGGGCTTGATAATGTGGGCGGACATCAGTGGGTCTCTGTGTCACAGGTTTTCCAAGACACCCACAGTCCACAGGTGGTGGATAAGGAAGCCACAGCAGTCACGTCTACCTGACTGCAACTTCTCCAAGAGAAAGGAATTAAGCCAGGACTGGGGGGGGAGCTACAGGCCGCACTCTCCCAGAGTGTAGGCCCGTTCCCTGTCTGTGGGGAATGAACTTATCTTAAATAAATCTCTTCTTCGCTCACCTCTGTGTGTTGCAATTCTTTGCATTACTCAGATCTCTGGGTTGCCAGCCCGCACCTCTGGCTTGCGGGCCCTGGTGGTCTCTCCCCTCTCCATCCACCCATCCACCCTCACCCTATCCGTGCCCTAACACACATTACATCTCTCCAAGAACCCACCAGACAGACCCCCCCCACACACTTTGGTGTCCTGCTGCTGGTTACATAACAATCAGCCCCCAGAGCTCTGACATCACGCACTGAAGATTCTCACCAGCCTGGACAGCCAAGGTGGGGTCTGCATGTAGCAGGGGGGATGATGGCGGGGGAATGAGCTCCACGGAACAGCCAGGAACTGGTAAGGGGGGGAGAGGTCAGAGGGGTGGTGACCCTGCGAAGAAAGCGGAAGCACTTGGGTTTTTTAATCTCCCCCTAACTTCCCACAAGGTTTCATCGTTGCCCCACATCTCCCCTCTTCCCCAGAGGGAATTTCCGATTTCACTTCCTCAAAACCCAAGCGGCCAGAGGGGCCCCTGCTTCCCCTTCACGCCCTCCTGCCCGGGCCCCGTCGCAGGCCCTTCGGGGAAACCTCTTCTCGCCTGCGTGTCCCAGGTCACGCCCGCCCCTCC